GGTTTATAGTAATTAATTGAGAAAAAAAAATTTCTGAACTTTCTGGAGAACATGTATAATTAGAGTACAAATTCAAATTTCTTGTTTTAGCTCTTATTCTCTCAATACTTGTCTTCAATAATAATGATGAAATTAGAAAGAAGCGGGATGACATGCACGAGGAAGTTAATGAGGAAAGAGAAGTTTGAGGAGACTGCGTTGCGCGAGGAAGCTGGTGGAGAGGTGTTGCGCGAGGAAGTTGATGGAGATGCACAGAAGCCTGAGCACACGTGATCACCTGCTTCCTTAATCACCCACCGGCGTCTCTGTTGTCCTTATTGTCGATCTTTCCTCGCACAGCACATCCCTGGAAGCTTCCTCACACAATGCCTACAGAACCAAAAAAATCTTAAGACTTTAAAAGAGAAAAATACTGATAGTTCAGGTGCCAGTCTTTACTAGTTATTCCCTAAACATAACAAAGTAATGAAGAGTTCAATTGAACAAGAGCCTGTACCACCCAGGAAGATATTTTACCTCCAACAAATGTTTAGCAGATGAAGATGCAGCATGATATGCACGCGCATGTTTTTGTGTACGTATATAGTGAAAGAAGGTGGAGTGATATGACAATGCATAAAAAGAAAAAAGCTCAAGAATCTTAAAAAAAGATCATATGATATATAGCATTGAAACTTCAAAGTAAAACTTCAAAGTAAACTCCAGCTTCTGAGGTCTGTTTCTTTTTGATAAAGAGTATATATCTTAAAAGGCTTTGTTTACATGTGACAATGAAACTAGAGGTTTTTCCTTTTCTTTGTTTCTTTCTTTTTCTGAAAAGGGCCTTTCATCATTTCTTATGCAATACTCAAAATAGTTACACGAAATGACAAGAAATATAATCCCTGCCCAGACATCAAGAATGGCAAGTAAAAAGAAAAAATTTCAAATTAAAAAAAATTAGTGTCACCCCCACCTCTCTAGTGCTCCTCCATGTTCAGAAAGGGCAAGATTGTTAATTGAGTAGCTACTTTTCTTTTCATTGCCTTCAACATCTCAAGTCATCTTCTAGAAGGCCCAAGGTCCTTGAATGAACATGTTCCCTAAAGAACCAATAATACCAAAATTTGCCATCACCAAACCTAAGATTCACTCAAAGTGTTAGCTGCCAAACCCAAAGCAAACTCATCAGTCACAGGCATATTTCTAACATTATTCAGAAGCCCAGTAAGTTCTCTATGAACAAAACTAAAACGCTCCTTTGACATCAGAGATTCCGTTAATAAAGTGGCAGCAAGTGAATGGAAGGCTTGAGAACACTCATCACTGATGCTTTGAGCATTTTGATTATCCATAGGAACTAAGGAGCTCTCAAGACGCCAGCGAAGTAGAAAATATTTTTCTGGTACTTGAAAGTAATTTTTGACCACTAGTACCCGAAGTGAGTGTCTGCACAATATGCCGGAATGTTCAAATTCCTTGCATGAGCAATGAATTTGCTCATCTTCTGGAATCCACATCACACGACGCTCCCTATCCATTTTCTTGTAGTGTTGCACAAGATATGATCCTTTTGCCATTTCCATAATTGCATATTGCATTGACA